GGTTTTGCTGTATAGCCTGGTATGCTAAGATTATTTTTCTTTCTTGATCCGAAGTTTCCATAATTATTATGTGAGAAACAAATGGTTGAAGAATGATAGTTCCATTTAGCGTGTGGAGTGCGCGGCTCGTTATGTTGCGCGACTCGTTATGCACCCACGTTATCTACATTGGCTCACCAGCTTCCGTAGATCGCTACTTTGCGCTCGCTCAATAATACCCTGAGATTTTGTCGTCCTGGAAATTGGCCTAGTTCCCGGTTTCGAAGTGCTGTGTGTCTCCTGCATTGGAGTAGGATGTGAGCTACCGTCTGCCGGCCTTCTCCGCAGTCGCATCCAGGGTCTTTGATCTCCGGCACTATTCGTTTGAAGAGGAAGTCGTTCATCCCGATTTTCTCTGTTCGGAGTTGGACATAGATGGCGCTTTGCCTTTTGCTGAAGTTCTCGTGTGGCTGTAGTACTTTTGGTGTTGGCTCCGGTGTGTGTCGGAAGGTTGTCCGGCCTCTGGCCCGCCAGCCCACGATTGCGCCCTGGCACTGGCCGACTCCGAAAAGTATGACATCGTCCTTCTCCAAGAACCCTGGACAGAGGCAAAGAACTCAAGATGCCTCACCAAGACTCACCCAGCCTACGACACCTACTCACCCGTAGACAGCTGGGATAGCAATGACACGCGGCCGAGGGTCATGACATACATTCGTAAGGACTCACGCATTCTCGCAGACCAGAAACGACCGGCAGTCACCCGAGATATTCTGTGGGTTACGGTGAACGGCGCAACAATCGTCAACTTCTATCGCCAACCCCACTATGACGTCTCCCTGGACATCCTGCTCCGGTGGCCGGCACCAGAAAGGACCCTTGTGGCCGGCGACTTCAATGCTAAGCATTATTCCTGGCAAACCGGACGACTGGAGGGCCGTGGAGAGGACATTGCCACCTGGGCGGCCGAAAACGGCCTGAATCTCTTGAATACGGCTGACGAGCCGACGAACCCACATGGCAACACAATCGACTTGGCTTTCTCCAACATTGCTTTGGCGTCCGCGGTTGTGGAAGACCATCTCGCCACGAGCTCTGACCACTTCACTCTAAGTCTCACACTTCCTGATGTTAGCCTGAGCCTGCCGCAGGCGCCGGGCAAAGTGCGTGTCACGACTGAAGAGGAGCTGGAACGCTTCAAGGAACTCGTTGCCGCCGGAGCTTGTCGGATACCAACGGACACGGCAACAGCCTCGCAGCTTGACGCACTGGCCGCGGCGCTTGTTGACCTCCTCCAGTCGGCTGCTCTGGCAGCCGGTCGCCGCGTACGGAAAGGAAGGCGAAGTGCGCCGTGGTGGAACGACGAGTGCGCCGAAGCCGCTGCGGGATACCGCGCCATACGAAGAATTCTCCCTTTGGGATCCAGCCAGGAAGTCCAACTAGCAAGAAGAGAGTTCCAGCGTGTGGTCCGCCGTGCCAAGCGGCAGTATTGGCGCAACCTCATCGACGGCTTCTCAGATAGCGCATCAGTCTACAAGGCAGTCCGATGGCTCAAATCACCAGGAGCCTTCCAGCCTCCACCACTCCAAATTGGCGACGATGTATACGAAACCCAGCTGGATAAAGCGAATGCGCTGAGACGCAGCACTCTTGAACGCCGCACGGCAGCGGATGACATCACGGACCCATGGATCCCGGTCCGCCCAGTCCGGAAGATACCTTTCGCCCAAGAAGTCACGCTGGAAGAAGCAGAGGATGCTACGATCAAGACGGGAAACACCTCGCCTGGAGCCGACAACATCACGGTCAAGTTGCTGCAAGCAGTATGGAACATCATTGGAGGACACGTTTGTCGCCTCTACCAAGGATGCCTATCGGTTGGCCATCACCCGAGAGCATTTCGAGAAGCAGAAGTGGTCATGATCCCCAAGCCGGGAAAGAGAAATCTGTCGTGCCCCAGGGCTTGGCGCCCTATTTCTCTGCTCTCATGTCTTGGGAAGGGCCTCGAGCGGCTGATCGCCCGCCGCCTAGCGTGGGCATCGATTCATTATGCAGTCCTCCACCCACAGCAAGCCGGCGCGCTCCCGAAACGGTCGGCCGTCGACCTAGTCGCCGCGCTGATTCATGATATCGAAGAGGCATTCGCACGCGGAGAGGTGACCACACTGGCCACTGCAGACATTCAGGGAGCTTTCGACACAACCATGTGCAACAGGCTTGTCCTGAGGCTCCGTGAGCAAGGCTGGCCCGACAATCTTGCGCGGTGGGCAGGGTCGTTCATGAGCGGCCGCTCCGCCAGAGTCAGGTACCAAGACATCACGACACCGACGACGCCATTACAGTGCGGTCTTCCACAGGGATCGCCCGTGTCTCCGATCTTGTTTTTGCTCTACACGGAACCGATCTATCGGCTAGGCAATCCCGAAGGACGGTTCGGGTACGCGGATGACACCGCCATTCTCTGCACTGGACCATCGCTGGAAGAAACATCGCGAACAGCGTCGGAATATCTCCAAGAACTCGTGAACTGGGGCGCCGCCAACGGCATTTCATTCGACCCGAAGAAGACAGAAGTCATGCACTTCTCACCGAGGAGGCGGAAAACCGGTGCATGACAAGTACCCATGACGGCCAGAGTTCCCGTTGACACCGATGACTGCGGCTCTTTTTGAACCTCCCGGTTGCTCTCAAAACGATCCAAAGGATTCGAAGAAAACAAATGTAAGTAGATTCACTGGAACAACAATAATAAACCTCCATTGGCCTTCCGTCTGGGTCCCCTAAGGCCATTAGATATCCTGTCGAAAATGCATACCATTTGCCATACTCAATGTTGAGGCTTCATTGTCAAGTTTTAGATGTCTACTGGCTATATTCATGCATATATGTTGCGATGCCCCGGTTGCCATTTTGTGTGCCCCTTGTTGTGCTGCTACGGACTTTTCTGAGGCTTTTGAATACCAATAACTTCCTTGCATCCGAAGCCTCATTTTTGCTTTTTCCGGCTACGTCTAGTCATAATACCCGACGTTATCAACTTAGGCTTGCACAGCCAAATCAGGAGAGGGACTAAACAAATCCACTCCATCCACTCCACGAGAGCTTCAAATGGAATGGATGCAATATAAATCCACGAGCTGATCGGGCTCGTGGAATGGATGGTGGATCCACCAAGTGGATCCACGCGTGGATTGAGTGGGTAGTTAGCAACTCTGGCACACAGAGTCTTGTTAGATTCTCAGTGGCTACAAAATATGAAGGCTGACCAACCACCTGAATAAATTCAGGTGGTTGGGGAGTAAAGATAAAAGACCTCACTTCTTCACGTTAAACAAGAAGAAAACAGAGACAACAATACATCACAATTTTTTATCTCCGTAATAGTGCCACCGTATTTCTGACAATTAAGGGTCTCATTTGCAATCTCGAGTTATTCGCGTGATACAGATGAGATACGATGGCACTCGCGGAAAAATCGACAAGAATGATCCTCCAAGGCCCAGACGAGTGGGAGTCTTGGAGCAAAAAATTCAAAGCTCGAGCTATCAGTGATAACATCTGGATATATGCCAATCCAGACACTGATGATGAACTTGAGGATGAACCACCAATGCCAGATGTTGGCAAATACCCTAGACGCCAAATTATTGGCCAAAGCAGCCATTCCCGCAGTCCAAGCCTGGTGGGATGCTTCTGCACCCGATAAGTATCAGAGTCTGACCCTCAAGTTCCCTTCTAGCTGTCCTCCGGAGTTAGCTCTCTCACGAACAATGCTCCACCACCTGTTAGCCGCGAGGACTCATCATGGTGATTTTGCTGACTACCACGAAAGATTTCATCACAGTGATGCTTGTGTTACATGCTCTTGCGGTCGGCGTAAGGCACCGACACATCTCTTCTATTGCCGGAAGATCCAGCCGCGCTTTCGAATGAGGCTTGCTCCCTCACCGACCGTGGCGATCAACCAGGCAATAGGTAGAGATTTCGACAAATTCGTCAAGCTGGTGAAGGCAAGTTCTTTCTTCGAAAGGATCTGCACGCGCCACTAGACGAAACCAATCCAAAACAGCACTATCGTGCTCCCTTTCCTTTGTTTCTTCTTCTCAGGCGGCGACAGGCGGAAGGTGGTCTCAACACCTTTCGCCGGCGTACGCCTCTTCTGGCTGCTACCGCAGCCCGCACCACAGACCGAGCCGGTCTAATAGATACCATCACCTGCACGACCCGCTGACGGGTAACAGAGTAGACTGTGAGCGCCTTTGAGCTGATGCCATGCTAGATAGTGTTTGTTTACGTTATGCGGGAAAGTGTTTCTTGTAGTTTTACGTAGCAAATTTGGCACTAGCCTAGCACGTCCTGTGCCCCGCATAGGGGACCTGAGTGGCCTGAGGCCACTGGACGGAAAATACACATACATACATACATTTTACAATAATAATCTCAGAGCATCCAAGGCGGGTAATTAAAGTCCGTCTAACTGTGGCGCAAACGTTTTGATCTTCTGCGGCGAACAACCTTCGACAGCACAGCCTTCATGTCTACACCTGGCTGGCTATTATCACCCAAGGCACTCTTCACCAAGTCGTTTGTATGCTGTTGCTGATCGTCGATTTCGTCGCATTCTTCTACTGGGGACGAGGTACTTATGGACTTTTACATATTTAGTTTCATGTCAACAAAATAATTAAAAAGAAAACATATTTTCTGACCTGAAAACTTGAGAAAAACTCCGGGCTGTCGTTTTCATGAAATGATAAGACAAGCCGGTCGTCCGGCGCATCCCTTGTCCTCTTGTGAGAGGCATGGCGAGAACCGATCTCTCTTCTAGTAGATTGCGATGGCCCTGGATGACTTTCTGGAGTATCGGGGACTTGGACAGCAGTACAAGCCACTTTGAAAAATTTCTCAGAGCAGAGGGGATCGTAGTCCCAGTCGATCTTGTACTGGCCCGCAGCCAGGATGTGCACAAACCACAACGCCAGATTGAAACTCAACGAGCAGTTCTCCTTACTACTCCGTGTGGCGCCTCCTTTCTCTTCTTCAGTCCAGGGGACTACCACATATTGCATGAGTCCGTTATTTCTCAAGGCTGAGTTCAACGAGGCCTTAGAACCGGCGTCGGGATCACCTGGGGTAGTGTAAGAGTAGTGCTTTTAGAATAAATGTTGCGTGATATCGCAGACTTACGTGGTTTAATTCGGAAAATGAAAGCTTCTTCAGTTGTCAGAATGCAACCGTATCTACACTCGAACCAGACGCAATAAGTATATGCTTGCCGAATTGGCCAGGCAGCTTGCTTCTCGGCCATGCCTGATTTCCAAGTCCCATCTTGTTCCAGAAGAGCATCTAGTACATCAGAACTTCTCCATTTTGTAGAGGATTTGTAGTCCTTTGGTAGCCTTTCGATTCGGCTTGTTGGACATGATGAACCATGAGTATGGCAAGGAACGGTAGCGCCACTGTCCGGATAATATCTGCGGCCCTTGCGCATCCCTGTCGCGCCAGATCTGACAAACGAGGTTGTCAGGGAATGCGTTGGACTCAAGTCATCACAAGTTGGTGTGCTTCTCGTACTTCCGCCTATTTTCCCTTTGTCCTTTGTTGAAGGGTTCCATTTACACGTTGGAATTTTCTCGCCTATAGCTGTTAGACCAGCCTGGACTATCGGATAGTTCCACGCCGTTATGACATGTTGAGTTTCCGGTTCCTGGGTGACGACACATGGCTCAAAGTAAGGGCATGCGGAAAGAAGTGATGTAGTTTGCTGAGCAAGTTCAATTAATCTTCCATTGCTGATTTTTCGAAGAGTTTCAAAGCTGAATTCATCCCATACTAGTAACTGCCGGGGGGACATGCAACGCTGGGCATTTGTGAGCGAAAAACTAGTCGGTTTTTCGTACTGAATTTCAGGATTTTTCCACATCAATGAATCAAGAACGGATAAAGTTCTACTCATCTTGAGAGCTGATGGGCCAAAAGACAATTCAGAAGAGGGAGACGTGGAGATCAATGTGTCAGAGCGACAAATCACGCCATTATATCACCGTTGGTGCCGTTACATTGGCACGAATTCAAGTGTACACAGCCTTGTATCAAGAAAACGCTCTCAATTTGGTCACGGACATAAGAATATGGAGGGCCAAGGACAGCTGAAGGAGTAGTCAATCTTGATTTAATTGGCCGCGCATACGGAATAATTCCAGCTCGTGAAACAGAAGTCTCGATATGGTAGGTCAGAGACCCCGCATTTCCCGCGGGATGCTGCAGGACGGGACCTCCCTTGTTCCAGACGACGTCGTGCCCAATTATGTTGCCAGCCTTTTTGTTTCTGGTCGGTTATATTAAATCACTGCAGCGGCAATTGTTTGGGTGCGAAGTCCAAAGCGGCCTAACTGTCCCATCTCGACCTGAAGTCATCACCTTGCCTCCCTCATAGCTTGCCAGCTGACCATATCTGACCATGACCGAAAGAGCGACACCCAAGAAACAGTCTATCCGACACCCGAATGAATTGCCTCCTTGTAAGGGCCCGAAACTGCATGTTTTCCCTGAGCACAGCTCTCCAATTGAGTGGCTAGGGCGAATCGACGGAGAAGATGAAAATATCAAGGGTTTCAGTGACTCTGGGAAGCAGGGG